AGCCGAAAACGAAAAAGTACAAGATGCATGTGCCTCGAGTATAATGCATGCGCGAGATATACCACAACAGTACAAAAGATCAACACATGAATCTGATTCATCGCAGCATAAATGGCTTTCGCGTGTTGGAACAAATGAAACAAGATTTGACTACCAAACACTTAAAACACAAACAGTTTTTATACATGAAAGCAAGTTATTCTACTAAAATGTGAAAAGGGAACATTATTTCGTTAAATTATTACTTTATTATACATCGTTTAAGAGACAGGCATTTTCCGAAGAAAATGGTGGGTTAAACCTAGTTAAACCAAGCCTCCCACTTGTATGACAGTTGTTTATTGTTCCGTTATATTGACAAAATTGGATGAGCAACCTAAACAGACATAATAGGTTAATGTGACAATAATTGAGATCCAGCAGCCAAAACTTTGTAAATATACATCACAGACATACAACACAACTGACTAAAATATTCAAACAAACATACAAATTAATCTAATTAACAAAGACGTCAACAAAAAGATGTAGTAGATAGTAAATTTTAAAATTGACAATGACGTCAACAAAAATAGTTTTAGTCGTTGATAGTACATACCATATATAGTATATACACTTTATGCGCGCGTTTTCAGTTTTTGGGTTTTTTTATGGGGGCAAGTTTCTAATTTTTTGTGGTTTCCTTTGTCTCTTGTTATTCATTTTTGTCTTTTTCTTTTTTTTTGTATGACCGTCGACTTATGTTGTTGAATGCATCCTTTGAATTTTAAGATTTTGTAGCAAGTTGTCTAACTAACAAGACTTACGAATTTGATTTCACGTGTTAAAATCCTAAATCTTTCTCCTTTACCAATTAGTGGTTAAATATAATGCACTTTTTTTTAACTATTGCGCTTTTTTGAAATACGGAACAGAATTTTAAACTGGTTGAAGGATTCCATAGGACATTCTATTTTGATTTCTCTCCGTAAGGAGATGACTCGAAAGCAGAAATGATGGTCATAATGTATAAAATAAATATTCAGCAGACTTTCCAACGAATTCTTAAAAAATCCAACCGTGTATAGAAAAAGCGAATATAACCTTTCCGTGTTGTGGTCACTTCCTTATTCCGAACTGGAAACTGACTCGAGGTCGTGGCTTTGGTGTTTCAAAGACGGACTTTTAACTTAGTTTTAATTCATGTCTGTGATAGCACATTATGTCTTCTTGACATTTATACAAAAGAGCAGGAGTTAGAAAGCACTATGATTCGGTTAATTCTGAAGGCAGATTTCTGTAATCCTTGAGGAGACAGTCAACATAAGACAGTGAAATTTAACATGCGTTCTGGACATCCGTCAAGGAAATACTCCCCAGATAGTTATCATAAATAGACTTTGTAGGATTTATGCTTCGGTAATATCACTCTTGAAAAGGGGTTGTTTTGATATCGATGTTGCGACAGAACATGCGACATTACAACAAAAACATATTGTGTGATATTTTTTTAACGTTTTTAATTAAATAACTTAGTTGTCGTCTGCAGGAAAAGTGTTTAATGTTATAAAAATTCGATTTGGAGATATGTCAGATAAAGAATTGAAAATCACATTATTTCAAAATGCTTTCAAGAGAAGACGGATGAATAATTTAGTTCCGAATATACATTGTATGTGATGACATCGCAAATGTAAAAAAATGTCTTATGTTTTCATTCAATGATTGACAAGTGTCCGTTCAAATCAAGTAAAGCAAGTAAAGTTATTTAAAAATCTTTTCTTCCTGCTTAATGATATTTTAATTTAATTTTTTAGATCTGGCTAAATCTAATTGCCAGTAAAAGACAGTGATTATCTGTGATCGATTAAATATTTAGGCGAGATTTTCTAATGTTAAAGAGAACACGGCATTTAAGCAAGGAATGGGATATTTTAAAATGCATGGATGTCATTACTATTCAGAAAAGTTTCAATTAGAATTATTGTCTTGGATAAAGAATTGTCTTTGACTAAAGAAGTACTTATAACAATAAAGTTTATGAACTTTACGTGAATGGTAATATCTCAGGATATCAAAGTTCACTGAAAGATTGTAATACGATCGACGCTTTTTTATTGATATCCTTTAATACCGCTAGTAAAGTACGTAAGTTGGGAATTTACAGGGTATTTTTTTTTTCGTTTTCTCAGAATTTTCAATCAGGTAATAAAAAAACGAATAAAGGGAAAACGAATTGATTTATGTCAGAATCTAGAAAATAGAAAATTACGTAAATAACAAAAAATCTCACTCAAAATGGAAGGTTTAGGTAAAATTAGAACAATAATAGGAGAAAGTATAATAATGCCAGTTTTTGTCCCTTCAATTTAGAAATCATAAAGTAATAGCTGATGCTCAGTTCAAAATCAAAGGCACCAACAAACCCGTCGAACTAACCGGATGTTGTATCAAAATTTAAAAGGGATCATGGGCCAATGGCTTAAAAATGACTTACTTTAAGTATTGATGGCAGTGACATTTAGCGCATGAGATCTGCATTATCTATGTTGTTTAGGATGAAATCTTTGTTGATATCAGCAAGTGACAGACACGATAGCATTCAAAGGACAGAAAGGATGTGGCGTATTAATTTATTACACAAAACCCCAATTCACGAACTTGACCCAATGCAAAACAAAGCTCATATTCGGCTGTTCTTTGTATTAAAATCAGACTGGGACCTTCAACAAAGTACAAAAAAACTCGTTCAACTCAGGAAATTCGAGACGGTCCTAGCTCAATATGTCCGATAACGCCACATATATGACCGTATCAAGTTGATGGAGTCTTGTCCAATTGATTTCCACGCCACGGCATTGTACGACTATTGTCTAACTTAGTGAACCGTCTCGGTAGTCTCGTGGTAGCGTGTTCGCCTCGAGTGCGGAAGGTCGTAGGTTCGAACCCCGGCCGGGTCAAACCAAAAATTTTAAAATTGGTATTTGCTGCTTCTCCGCTAAGCACGCGGCATTAAGGAGTAAGAGCAAAGACTGATCGGCTAGGAGTCAAAATAATGTGTCCGTGTAAGGTGACATGCCGGCATTAAGGAGTAAGAGCACAGACTGGTCGGCTCGGAGTCAGAATAATGTGTCCGTGTAAGGTGACAGCGTGTCGGTCTAGTTCCTATTCATATTACATTAACAAGTTCTCGTCCTCAATATGCATATTAATTTTGTCGCTTGACGTTAAGAAGCCATCAATCATCATCATCATCTAACTTAGTGTGAATGATATTAACATGTACTACCCCGCCACATTCTGTATGTGCCTGTCCCAAGACAGGAGCCTGTAATTCAGTGGTTGTCGTTTGTTACTGTGTAACATATTTGTTTTTCGTTCATTATTTTGTACATAAATTAGGCTATTAGTTTTCTCGTTTGTCATGTTTTACATTTCTCATTTCGGGGCCTTTTATAGCTGACTATGCGGTTTGGGCTTTGCTCATTGTTGAAGACCGCACGGTGACCTACAGTTGTTAATTTCTGTGATATTTGTACTATTGTGGAGAGATGTCTCATTGGCAATCATGCCACATCTTCTTATTTTCATAATCCATACTTTAAATGCAAATCAAAATGTTTTAAATGTAGTGCTTCCGAAGCGCTTTACTGCATTTACCTTCATCGGGACCGCTCAAACCCAAAAATTTGAAAGCCAATGATGTATAAATACCCGAAAAAGTTAGAAGTTATATACTATTAACAGAAAGGGACCTATAATATAGCCAAATTCAGTTAAGGTCAACTTTGCCTGAGGCATTTGGAACCTAAACTCTGAATAATTTCTTGATTTATCAACGGAGGATTTTTTTAAAAAGTGTGTTATAAATCATGTCAGTACCGAAGCACTTACTACTGAGCAGATGAAACAGTCCACCAGAAGTGGTATCAAATGAAAATAAATACTTCATGAATTGCATGCGTCCGACGCGCTTTTCTGGATTTATCTTCATCAGGAACGCTCAAATCTCAAAATTTGAAAATTTGTGAGAAATAAATACATGAGGAGGCTTTTTACCATTTTTGGATTCACCTTCACTAGACATTACCTAATCCAAAAACGTGAAAGCCAAGGATGTGTAAATACCCGAAACGTGAGGTGCTATAAGACTAAAAGGTACATGCTGTAAGACTAAAAGGTACATAGAATAGCCTAATTCATCGAAGGTCAACTTTGCCTGAGGAAGTTGAAATCTTACTTGTTAAAAATATATAATGTAACCAGAAATGAAATGATTAAATTTTATTTCTCACTTACATAATAGTGAAAGACGTCACTGCCAGGATGATTTATATTATGATAGAAGGAAATTGAAAAACTGTTATATATATATGCAATGAAAAGTGCTATAAAAATGAAGGAATATTTAATAACGATTTTGATGAAGGCTGAGTATGTCTCCACGTTCATCCTCTATTTAAAAAGATCCGTTAATAGCTTGCACTCAATGCCACGTGTTTGAATGACAATTGCAATAGTAATGAAAACTTTATGCATTAAAGTATGACATACTGTACCAGACGAAACCATGATAATTGAATATCCCTTGTTTTACTTTATTGAAATTATTGGGTTAGTTGGGATTAAAGTAATAAATATTTTAGAAAAGGTTGGTATTTGATTTTGTTGTTCGATATTACCATATGACATAATTTTATCTGATACAGACTTTAAAGTGAATAGCTGCGGTGGTGGGTTCGTGTTGCTCAGTTTTCAATTGTAGTGTTTCTTTTTGTCTTTTTTCTGTTTTTGCCATGGCGTTGTCTGTTTGTTTTCGACTTGTGATTTTGAATGTTCCTTTGGTGTCTTTCGCCTCTCTCTTACTCAGATTGAATAGCAACAGAATTTAAATCTGTATAAGAAATTCAAATCAATTAAGAATGTTTTGCTTTGCCCAAATATCTTTTATTTTTTCATTTCGTCAAAATAATTCGTCAGGAATACCAAATGAATAAAAAAATTATTGATAAATTTTACAGGTAGTGAAGATCCTGATTATTGTCGTCTGCCTGTTCGTTATCTGTTGGCTACCATTGCAGATTTACAATGTTGTGTCGCAAGTGTACCGAGAGGTTAATGAGTAAGTATTGTGTAATATATCAGCAACTGTCATTGAGAAACCATGCTTTGCAGGTCTTTTTAAGTAAATATGCATTGACTCCCTAAATCATTGAAAGGAAAATTATCTGTCTTTTTATGATCTATTTGTGACGTAAGTTGTTGAGGGCGGGACACAGTATTCTAATGCAACAAACAAGAAAATAGTTTTATAAAGTTTAAAGGCTCGATTTAAAAGGTAAATAAATGATTTGATTAATCCATGTCATTTATACAAGGAACTTTTCGTGTTTCAAATATGTTCGTTATCTTTGATTTCATTTTCAATGTTCAATGACTGAATAGAATCACTTTACAGGTTCCATGATAAGTGATTTCATTTTCAATGTTCAATGACTGAATAGAATCACTTTACATGTTCCATGATAAGTGATTTCATTTTCAATGTTCAGTGACTGAATAGAATCACTTTACATGTTCCATGATAAGTGATTTCATTTTCAATGTTCAATGACTGAATAGAATCACTTTACAGGTTCCATGATAAGTGATTTCATTTTCAATGTTCAATGACTGAATAGAATCACTTTACATGTTCCATGATAAGTGATCGTTCCAGTTTCCAAAAGAAACAGATCAGATAGATTTGTTATATTATATAGATAGAATACATTTAAAATAAGGAGTCTAAAACGTGGATTTTTAAGCAATGCCCATTTGAATTGTTTCACCCGACCTTGCTCTCATTTAAATGAGTCATTTATTAATGAGAATTTTTCTTATTTAGATCAGTTCCTTGTAATTATAAAGAAAAGGCCGACTATATTTGCTTTATATTTGCTTCATAAAAGGCCGACTATATTTGCTTTATAGAACAATTTTAATGTGTTTATGTTCGACTGACAGAAAACATCTCACCTTTTATACATAATGTTCATCGATCATTGATCAACACGAGGTTTTTATTATTAGATGATATTTTCAGTTACTATGAATAATAGGTCAATTGTATTTTGTCTACGGAATCATGGGAAGAAGCAAATGTCCGACTGACAGGATTCAACTGACCATTTAATATGCTGTTGGTTTATACTTGTAAATACATTTTATATTTCTGGCTTTCCAAACTTTTGGCCTCTAGCGTATCTGATGCCGGAAACTTATTCTAGAAACAGGTATTGTGCGCAGGGGAAATTTAATAAAATAAATATTCTTGTACACTGGTTTGGTACTATGCTGATGGACTATCTGAGACTGACTTCCACCCAGTAGGCAATACTTTTGTATTGGCATGATTTAAATGATGCATTATGCTTGTAAATTTGGAGTTCATTTAAATTATGTAATTAAGCTAATAATAGTCTGTAACTCACTCTGATCGTAGAAGCAATGAAGTCAGTTTCTCGGTAACTGTATGTAACATATTATCAAGTGAGCCTGTCTGTTTTCATAGTTTATTGTTCAGTGTTGATTTATTGTGATAATCTTGACCCCACTTTTATTGTTCTGTGATCAACCTTAAGATTAAGCATGTTCAGTAGTTAGGGAGACATTTCAATTACTGTTAGAAGTCAACTGTATGCTCTTATAAAAAATATTGAATCTACATTTTTCACCTAGGGTATAATTCTTGAGATAATTTCTCCTAAGTATTAGATGTTTTTTTACAAACTATATAAACTTTTTGATTTTGATATTTTGATAATAATAAAAGACCAAACGATTCGTGTTCTCAAACAAAACATTATACTAATATTACTAGAATTGAAATATTTTTCTATTACAAAATTAAGATTTAATGTACAACAAAACACGTGACGCATTCACATTAAAGATAGTATGGAACTTGTCAAAACTGTCTCTTCACGTCAATAATGTCAACATATACATTCAATATAATAACACGACTTTTTATCATGTAGTATTCAAAAAAATTGACCGTAAACCAACGGAAGTCCTTTGATTGTGATGGATCATATGTCAGAAAATTATTATACTAAAAAGTTGAGTAATATATGGTTGCCAACATGGTTATAAAATCTATGTACCATCACTATTTATTGAAAACAAATGAAAGAGAAAATAATTTTGGCATTTGTAGCTGTATATATGGAAAAGTTATATGTTTACTCCCAAAATAATATGTATTATTTTGTTTACGGTTAATGAAATATATCTATTGTGTTGTACTTTTGAAATTCTTAGAATAAGCTAAGAGATTTGAACCAATCTGATGTTGTATGAAGATTGATCAGCAATTCTGAACTCATCTAAGGTCACGATTGTGGGAACTTATAACCCTTCCGAAGCACCTGATTTGACCCTCGGTTTTGTGTTCTTGTTGCTTTAGTTTTCTATGAAGTAATTTGGAGACTTTCTTTTGGTACGATGTTGTCTGTGCCTTCTGCGACTTGTGAGTTTGAATGCCTTAGAGATATTCTCCTTTGTATTAAACTATTATTCCTGTGGAGCTGAGTTTGATGCCCTAGAGATATTCTCCTTTTTATTATTCCTGTGGAGACTGATTATTAGAATTAAAACTCTTATGTTTCGTTCTTTTATTCCCTTCATTTATTTCGTGAAATTTTCTAATATACAATAGGCAATTGTTTATTGTTTGCTTTCGTTGAAAGCAATTCGACAGAGAAATGTCTTCATTGGGTTATAAGTGTTTTTATTCACAACTTGAATCAACTAGCCTGATTTACATTCAGGATATAATCAATGAAATAATCTTATCTTTCAATGCAGGACTGAAAATTAATTAGATCATGGTGATGCCGTAAAAAGAAATGCAAACAAAATGAAACCAAAAATATACACCAAAAGACTGAAATCTATAAATCTAATCATCATCTGAGAGATATATAATTATGAGTAACTTATAACGACACTGATTAAGTTCTATTTAGTGTTACGGTTAGTTACTTGTCATCCTACCTTTATAAACTTGGACCATTTGATAATTATTATAGTTTCAAAGTAATTAGGGAACAGTTGCACTCTTATATTCAGTAATTTTAAAATGTCACGCTTTTTTTTTAAAGAATTTGTGATTGTTTCGTAACATCTAACTATACCTTCCCTGTATTTAATTGCCAACAGGAATTTTGGCGATGCTTTAGTGCTTTGCCAATGAAATGATTTATATTTCATGACAATATTTTATAAGGGGGAAGTAAAGGACATGAAATAGTTATACAAAATCAAACGTGTTTTACCCTGGGTGTTTGGTGACATCTTTTGAAACGGTCAATCATTTCTGGTTAAGTAAGACATAAATATATACGGAAATAACTTCTGAAGGCATGATGAATGATTGCTTTAACCATTTACAATTTTCAGGCAATATTATTGGTCAAGTCTGTTATTGTAATTCTTGATTTATGGTGTCTGAAAATGAAGACAGGTTTATTAAGAATCTAACAACTGGGAAACATCGTTATCAAACTTAATATTTCTAAGGGGACGATATTAATCAAAGTACTGAAGTACTGAACATCGGATGACCGCAAGTTCTTGTGGATGGTCAAAAGCACTTGTCACAGAAACAAATCACATCTCTATACCTGAAATTGAGGTTAATGTACAGAGATATTTTTTTTCTATGACAATTTCGTGCGTGGATGATGAATAAATGACAGGAAAGTCAACCTCACCGTAATAACTATTATATTGTAGTGATACAAACCAGTATACACTGGTTTGTTGTTATATATTATATTAATATAACAGTTACATGTATATATTATTTTCATCCATTTGTATATCATTCTATTCTACTATTCTAATAATAGTGCAGTGCAAGTGCATGGTGGACACTCTTTTGTAAACATTCGATTTTTCTCAAAGATTGGATATGAGTAGGCATTCATATTTTCACGCAAAAAACAATCTTCCATGCAGAGTTACCGGTCCTTGCCGGGATTGTCGCAAAACGTTCTTGAGATATTCTTCCGCATGCTTCAACACGATTTTTCGGTACGTGTGCATAGATATTATCAATGATTTTTTACTTATATAAATATATATTTAACGACAAAACATTTTCATATTATTAATTTATGTTCTAAACAAAAATATTTTTATCAGTATTCATTGAAGAGATGTATAAATAACAAACGATAAGGAATGTTATTTTGTACTCGTTAATATCCGCGTATTTATCATGTTTATAGATCGGTTAAAAACCCAAAACGAATGTTACGCAATCGAAATCTAGGCGATAGCAATACATTGGAATGCCCTCACGGTCATCGCGATGTAAAAATCGTTTGTAACCTTAGATTGGAAAATAATATATAAGTATTTTGTATATTCTAAAAAAATTGATTGTATCAGAAATTAAGAGCCACATGAGCAACTGTATTTTCAAAGGTAGATAGAAAAGTGATATTGCACAGTTATCTTTAAAATATCAAAGAACTAAAAAAAAAACACAATACTTTGTGACACACTCGTGATCATCAATCAAAAGAATTTCTGCTTTATTTTCGGTGTATTGACAATAATGATACGTATAACAATTGTAGCCTTTGTACGAGGTTGATACGAGAATATATCTACCAAAAAATTCATATCAACCTCGGACTCGCCCTCGGTCGATATACTTCTTTCAAGTCAATATACTATCCAGCCATCGATCTCATACAAAGTCTATAATTATATTATATATAAAAATAAGAAGATGCGGTATGATTACCAATGAGACAACTCTCCACAAGAGACCAAATGACATAGAAATTAACAACTATAGGTCACCGTACGGCCTTCAACAATGAGCAAAGCCCATACCGCATAGTCATCTATAAAAAGGCCTCGAAATGACAAATGTAAAACAATTCAAACGAGAAAACTAACGGCCTAATTTATGTACAAAATAATGAACGAAAAACAAATATGTTACACAGCAACAAACGACAACCACTCCTGACTTGGGACAGGCACATACAGAGTATGGCGGGGTTAAACTAGTTTGTTGGCGCCAAACCCTCCCACTAACCTGGGAAAGTGGTATAACGG